GCGCGACACTTCTAGGCACCTGGGATGACTCACACGGCTGAAGCCCACTCGTGCAAAAGGGCACTCCTAAAGTGCTCACCAGAGACGCACAATGGAAGGTGTGAAGGCAGAAAACTAAGCAAAATGAAATGGAAATGAACTCCCATTGAAGCGAAACAGCTGAAATGCACGGAGATGCTTTTACCTGATGTTTAACGTTCTCCCAGGAGTCCTCGCCAACCACCTTCAGGGAGGAAGCGCAGGGGACACAGGCCGGGAGGGACAGGAGGGCGCAAAACCGTCATCGTGTGTCAGTGACACGACTCTTTGCCGGGGAGGCCGGTGGGGTCCACCGGGAAACTGCAGTGTTGACAGAAGTTGCTCGGAGGGCTGAGTGTGACATCAGTATACACAAGTGATAGTTTTCACAGGGGCAAACAAGGAATTAAAGAGCTAAAGGAAGAAATGTCACCTATACCTACTACCAAACTGATAAAATAGCCAAAAATATTGTAAGAAACATGTGAGCTCTGAGTGATGTAATAACTGGACCGTGTCACCGCCGGAGGACCCTGGAGGTGGACAAGGTATCGTCCCCTGAAGTAACCGATAGCCCGCGTGTGAGCCCAGTAGGAATGCCCCAGGCGGGGGGGGGGGGGGGAGCACGTCCGGCGTGGCTGCACTGAGGTCCCGGGCGGGCTGAGGGGAGGGGGCGGGGCGGGCCGGGCCGGGTGTCCGCTTGCAGGGTGAGGACACGCAGCAGCGGCAGGAGGCCGCCCGCAGGCACAGCCACAGCCACAGCCACACCCGCCCACCGCTCCCGCCTGCCGGTCTCAGGGACCCCCACACTCCTCGTGCAAAGACGGTCATCGTGACCTGGCGGGTGTCGGTGACGGCGTCAAGGGACTGCCATAGAACCACTATCGCAACTGGAGACACACCTGACACTTCTGACGTGCATTACGGTGTTTTTATGGAGTCTCTCCAGTCTCTGTGTCTCGGGGTGACGACCGTGGCCTTGGGGGAGAGGGTCCAGCCCCTTAGACGTGGGTTTTCAGACTCACCTCTGTTTTCAGTGCCGCCCCCCCCCCCCGCACCACAATCTCCCTTTACAGAGACGCTCGCCCTTCCCGACCCGAGCGGGAAGCAGCCAGCCCTGACCGCCCCGCAGCAGCCGTCCTTCCCGCGGCGCTGAGCCTGCTAGAGGCCCCCCGCCCCCGCCCCGTGCTACTGCAGCGTGGCTTCCAGCGGGAGCGGGTGAAACACAGACGCTCTGTCGCGTGTGACTCTACCGCCGAAACAAAACTACGTACCAACCACGTCAGCCACGTGCTGAGGTGTTAAGGAACGAACACAGCCCGGCCTCCCGGTGCAGGGCTCCCTAATCGGCAGGGCCGATTCCGGCGGCGTGCGCCTCAGCGGTCCGCGGTGTGGCCTCCCTGTTAACTGCCCTCCTGCACCTCCTGCAGCATTCCCCACGGCTGCCGTAGCAAACCACGGCGGCAAAGGGACGATCCGTTTCTTGCCTCTTCCCGCACCCAGCGGCCACCCCTTCCGTCCCCGGAGGAGCCGCACCCGTCTGCTTCGGGAGCTCCCCCTTCTCGTCCGGGCTCCCACCTCCCTCTGCCCCCCTCCCCTCCCTTAGGGCTCCCACCTCCCGCTGCCCCCCTCCCCTCCCTTAGGATCTGTAACAGCCCCGGGGCCCACCTCAAGCCCCGCCACCGAGTCCTGCCCGCCGAGGCCTTCCTTCCCCGTCAGCGACCCTCCCCGTTTCCCGGCCCGCAGACGTGGAGATTGGCAGCTCCTCGTCAGCCCCCACCGCCGCCGCGTTCCCGCCGCCGCGTTCCCCCCGCCCCCACTCGCTTCAGTCCGTCCTGACCATTTTTCCGGAACCATCTCTCTCACTGCCTGCATGTTCGTGCTCATCTCAGTGTCTGCCTCTGGCACTCGAGCAACTACAATTATTCACCCACGACACCGGCTGCAGGGTGTCTGCCTGGGTCGCGGCAATAAAACACCTGCGCACGCGACCGTCCTGTTCTCCTGTGTGTGCGCGGTTTTCGGGCACCGCAGAGCAGGGCCCCAGTTCGGGCGTCCCCACGGCCTCGGCCCGGCCTCCATGCTCGGCCTCAGCAGCGCCCGCTGCAGACACCGGGACCGACGTCGGCTCTGTAAATACACTGAGCCCTGCTTCCCGCACTGGGTGTTTTTGGTCCTTCTCCCTCAAAACGAAACCCTCTTCTGTGACGTCCCATCAAAATCGGTCCCCCGACTGCGGGAGCTCGTAACACGTCCTGCTTCCCCTTCCCAGGTCGCGTCACAGTCATGCGTGTCTCTGGTTCTCAGCACCCGCTGCCGTGGTCGCCTCTGTCTACGCCCCAGAGTCCAGGGTTGAGCCTGGCCAGCTCCCAGGCACGCGCCCCTGCCGCGCCGGCCCGGGGAAAGCAGTCTCTGCGTGTTTGGCAAACAAGGGAGCAGGGGCTGAACGGAGCCTTAAATGCCTCCTTAGGCCGGCAGTGCGCTGTCTGGGCCGGACGACTCGTGCACCGGGAGAGAGTGCGCTTTTCATTGATCTTATCTCTTTTCGTCAGGACTGTGATTCAGAATATCCTATTAAATGCAGTGCATAAAATATTTAAATTCTACAAATGAGCTTCTCTCTTGCATTTCACTCCGCACGCCATAAATATTTAGGGGTTCATTCGCATTCCTGTTTTCTAGCGTGGGCTCATTTCCCTGCTCTGCACACAGATGAGCGGCGTCCGAGTCTGTGGGACCCGGCGGCGTTGGCCTTCGTGGTCGCTAATCCCCACGCGGCGCTGGCCTTCGTCAAGGCCACTTGTCCTCCTTTCGCCCTTCGCAAATGCCTGTCCTCTCCTTTGTTCCATTTCTCTTTGCAAATTTCTCTTCGGATTCTTTTCTTTCCTGGGCAGGGGCAAGAGTGACAGGAACTAGCATTATCTGTTTAACAACCGCACAATGCGCGAATCAAGAAATTACTGTTTTGTTGTTTGTCTTGTCCCTCAGAGCCCACGGATGAGTGAAATCACCCACGTGCCGCACCTCTGACCCGCTGCTCGGGGCACCGCGCTCTGCTCATTTTTCCTGGATCTTTTTTCTCTGTGTTCTTCCGACTGGGTAATTTTTACGGCTGACTTCGAGTCAACTCGCCTTTCCTCCAGCACCCCTGCTACAGACGAGGGACCGGGAAGCTTTATCAGTTTCCAAAAGAAACAGTCCATCACAAGATTTCTGGAAGCCTGAACCACAGTTGAAGCCTGAGGGTGTGAGAACATCTACGTACCAGGTGTGTCCGGAAGAAGTCCCGCCATTGTTACTATAACGACAACAGTTCTCGCAAGATCGATGTGACCTGGTAGCCAAGGAGAGTGGGGCTTCCAAGGGGGTCGCGACTAAAAACTGAAAACAAAGAAAGGCAATTCGATCCGGGTCGTCCGGCCCAAGAATCCCACCATCTCGGCGGTTCCCCAGGCCCCGCAGCAGGGTGACGGGCTGAGTCCCTTCCGCGGCCCTCCCACCGCGGACAGCAGCGAGACTCCCGTCCCGCGGCGAGGATGTTTCAGACTCGGGACCCCCGGCTGTGGGGCCCCGGGGGCGCTGGCCTCCTCTCCCCTCGGCTGCCCGGTAAAACCATGACGACCGCCAACACAGCAACGGCCGTCCAGCATGAATGAGCCAACATTATACCTGTTTTCCGTCGGATCGGCAGAAAACAGATCTGTGAGGTGTGCTGCAGAACTCTCGTCATTCGTTGATCAGCTCATGCGCGCCCTGAGAGGGAGAAGGCTGGAAACCGCTGCTGTGGAGGAGGGGCTACAACTGGGGGCTTTCTACAAGTCCAATCAGACTCCCAGGACCCGCGGTCCAACGGGGGGCTGGCCCCACAGCGAGCACACGCCCTCGTGAAGTTTAATTTCCGTGCCACGTGGGTCTCTCTCCATCGTGATAACCGGAGATTCCAACTCAGGCTGCCTTACGTCCAGAACTGGATTTGTGGGTTCGCACTTGAGAAGCCCCTCAGGAGGGCCACTGGCTCCAGCCACAGTTGAACTGGGGTGCCGTGGGGAGGTGAGGCAGTGGCAAGAAGCCCCACACAGTGGGGGGGGAGCACAGTTCTGTCTCTGATTGGCCAGGCAGACTCGGGTCACACACTCCTCCGTGAGCCGATGCCAAGAGCAGGACGGGCAGGTCCCTGTGGCAGCCGGGTCCTGGGCCCCTGACAGTCGCAGGGACACCGACATCACCTGCAGCGAAGGGCGGGGAGGTGGGGCCTGTCTCCATGGAGCGCAGCGAGCCCTGGGCAGCCAGTCCCTCACCTCCACCAGGGACCCCGCGGACGCCCCTCCCCACTCCCACAGACTCGCAGGGGCTGCACTGGCGGATCAAACGAGATGAAAAATCGTGCACCGAGGCTCGTGATCAGGCGAGAGCGCGGGAGAGCGCGGGAGAGCGCAGGGGCTGCGGCAGAGGCCGCCTGGCCGGCTCTCAGGGGCCTCTCAGCGGCCGGAGCTCCTGGACTTCTGGAAGGACGGCAAAACGGAGGGGCGTCCTGACTCCCAGGCCGGGTCTCCCGCGGAGCGGCCCAGAGGGAGGACGCGGGCACCCCGCCTTCCCAGCGCCACCCCCCGCCCACCAACCCGGGACGCGCCCACTTCCTGGAGCCGCCCGGCGCGGCAGGGGGGCAGGGCCGAAGGTCCGGCACCCAGGCCCAGGTGCGGCTCGGTGACGGCTCCGCTGCGGGCGCAGGTCCCTCCCCCATCCCCCCTCCCCCCCTCGCGTAGGCGAGGAGGCGCAGGGCGGATCCAGGTCCGGGAGAAGAGCCAGCCCAGGACCAGACCACCCGGCGCGCGCTGCAGCCCCTACGGGGACGGGCTGGGAGGGACCCGCAGCTCCGAAAACGCGCTGGTGGAGCTGGGACCCCGGCGCCCCCGCCCCCGCCCCGCCCCGCCCCTGCCCAACAAGGTGACTCAGACGGCGACATGCCGCCTCCTGGGTGACTCAGGTTTGCAGTTCTGCGGGCTGCTGGCTGGCGCGCCTCTGCTGACCTGGCGACTGCGCAGCCGGTCGGAGGACTGACACTGTGACCGTGTTCCCTGAGGAGCGCGGCCAGTACGCCCGGGCGTCCGGACGCGGAGCAACCCATCAGCTTAGCCAGCCCCGGTCTCCCCCGGCGGCACCACGCTGCCCCTCCGCGGCGACGGGTCGGCAGGTGACACCCTTGCCCTCTGGCGCCTCAGCGGCGTGCTGGCAGCCGGCGGCGGGGATTAGTGGGATGTTACCTAACCCGGCAACCGGCGGCCGCGGGCGGGAGAGCCGGAGCCGGCGCCCAGGGGCGCGGGCGCTGCCTTCTCCGTCTGCGTCTCCGTCTCCGTGCGCCCGCGTGCCCCAGCGGCGTCCGCTCCTCCAGCCCGGGTCCCAGGTACGTGCAGCTGCTGCCCCTCGGGTCGACCCACGGCCCGCTCCTGCTCGCAGGGGCGTTAGAACCAGACGGCAACTTTGGGGTCCCTGAGTCTGGGAATTTCGGGGTCGCGCGGCGCCTCCTCTCCTTCTGGTGGGGGAAACAGAGCGAGGCGCGCACACTGGGCGGCGCACGAAGAAACGCACGGGGGCGGGGGGCGGTTTTACAGCTTCTCTTTCACCAAGCGGTCGTGTGGAGGAGACGACCCCTCCCGGTTGCTCCAGGCTTCCAGCACGACCCCCAGTCACCCTGCCGCAGACCTGTGAGCCCGACCGAACACGGGACTACACGCCTGCGCACCGCATCTGAGATTAACGGGCGCTGCCGCCCTGCCCAGCCCCGGTTCCCACCAAACCTCTGCCCGACGCAGTCCATTTTATGACATTATTTAAAAGTGTGCAGTTCATGGAGCTAAATGCAACTGGAAATAGCCGGCCTAAGTCGTGCCTATAGATGCTCTAGATTGAAAGAAAACGCAGGTGTCTTCCATTTGACTCATCCACTTGGGGGGGGGGACGGACCACAGTACCTCCTCTGAGGGCCTTGCCTAGATCATCTTCCAGATGTTCTTCTGATGTCTAGAGACCCCTCGGCCTCAGACTCGCTTGAAGCTGAAACTCCCCCACATTCTTCATGAACTGCGGGTGCGGAGACACGTGCCGTCGGGCAGAGTCTGAGGAAATCGCTCCCACGCGGGGAGACAGCAAACCTCAGTGTGAGAGGAAAAGCGGACACTGAGACCCCGGAGACACGGACCCCGAGCCTGGTTCCTCCACCTTAGCGAGCGCGGCATCAGCCACCCAGCGATGCCGTCTATCGCAGGCGGCCGCCCGGCCGGTGCGGGCAAGAAACTCCCGACCACCCCACCTGCAGCCCAAGGCCGTGCTTCCCTCTCCCTTCCACCACAGCGCCCTGCTCGTTACATCCTCGGCGAGGAGGCTTCAAACATCCCCTGGGAGGCGGCCCTGGAGCCCCCGTGCGGGGCCCAGAAGGAGGCCGGCCCTCATGGAGCGGAGCCTCAGCCCCTGTCTCCCCTGACGCGCCCCTGCCGTCTCAGACCTTTCCGCGGTCCTGGTCCTTCCGTGCGGTCTGAACGGCCAGAGAGAGCGCTCCCTCCGCTGGGTAAGTTCACGTCAGCGTTGCAGTGGTCGCGGGAGTCCGTGGTCTTTAGCATGAGAGGTTGTCAGGTTACTGAAATAGTTCGAACACAAAACTTCTCTTTCTGGAGGGATTTGTTATGGTTTAGGTGGGTTGAGTTATATAGCACATCTATCTTTCACACATTTTTGGGAGAAAAGCATTGCTTCTGAAGATTCTGGCAAATATTAGAGCCACTTGGGGTGTAACTGAAAGGTTTGTTGGGAAAAAATATATTAGGAGGAATAACCAGGCATCTGAGGTTCTTTTTGCATATTCTGCTGAAGAAGTCGTTATGAGCGAGAGTCGAAGTCTTCAGTGGCTGGTCATTGCAGAGGTTTAAAGCTGTGCAGAAACGACAAATTCTTCTTTTGCTTCAGGAAACCTCACCACATGATGCCCAGGGAGCCAGGCCGAGTCTCAGCCGCTCCGTGCCGACGGGGCCAGCCTCCAGGCTCTCGTGAGCGTGTGCGTGCGCCGCGGTGCGAACGACACGCCGAGAAAACTGTTCGAATAGTCTGTGACCTGTACGTGCTCCAAAAACGGGGAGACGGAATTAGTGACAAAACCACTGATCCCCAGGAGACAGAGGCCTTGGCTTTCCGGCTGCTCAGAGGTTTGGACAGCAGGGAAGGAGAGGGGCCAGCTTCTGCGCTGTGGCTGCTGGCGATCGGCATTCACCCTGGACTGCATGGCCCCCCCCCAGCTGTGCGGAGTGGGGGGCACCCCCGCCGGCCCCTGCCATGGGCTGGTGTTGTAACGATCATGGTCTGCACAGCGCTTAACGCCATCTTAAGAGTGCAGTTCCGCTGAGAGCACGGGAGGATTGGCCTTAGAAAAGCTACCGGTGTGTTTGCTTGTGCTGTCGATAGAAGCTACCCCCTTAGCCTCTGGGATGTTGCAATGCGTGATCTGCCCCTGGATGACGCTCTGAGTCTTTTCCGCCAATTTCGTGTACGTTGCATAGCCAGAAAGAAGGCAGGCTCTGCTGCCACTCCTGCGGATGATACAATGTATCACCAGAGCTGCTACAGTCGCAGGGGCTGCGACTCCTGGGTGGTTCCCTGCGGCCAAGCAAGCGCTTAAAACCCAGTGGGAGGTCCTGCATCAGGACCTTTTAGCGTCCGAATGATGGGCGCCCCTTTTACGTACACTTTGTTTTCAGTCTTTTTCTTTGAATACAATGTGTGAGGACAACAGGAAGCGAGATTTGGACGCCAGGTCCGTCGCTGCGGGAGCCTGGGGCAGTGGCTGGCTGGGGACCTCAGGCCCCCGCCTGGACAATGAGGAGCTCCGAGACCCCCCCCTACTCCCCCCCTGCCCCCCGCTGTAGAAACTGCCTGGCGAACAGGACAGGCAGACAAGAAAAAAATAAAGAACAGTGCACAACTAAACTCGTCAATAAATGCTGCCGTCTCGATTTTCACTAGTCGATGTGGAAGTTACAGGGTTGACAGCCCACACCCCCAGCGGGGCTGACAGCCCACACCCCCAGCGGGGCTGGCCCCCTGGCGCCGGGCACGGGCCGACGCCCTTCACACGCTAACTTCCGCTCCGGCGACCTTCACAGATAGAAGCCCCGGGAGGTCACCCACCTGCCAAAGGCCAGTTCCCGGCGGGCGGTAAAGCCGGGAGGCAGCCTGAGTCCGGCTTCAGTGCCCTGGGCTCTGAACCCCGCACAGTCACGTGCGGCCTCACGACGGGGATGCCGTCGGAGTAACACGTGTCACTCGGTGACTCTGTCGTCGCGCAAACATCCCCGAGTGCACGAGCACGGACCAGAGGGTCCGGCCCACCGCCCACCGGCCGTGGGGTGCAGCCGCAGCCCGCTGCCCACCTGGGCTGCAGCCCCCACGGCACGGCGCCGCCCTGGACGCGGGGGGCGGCTGTGACGTGACGGTGTCGGCTTGTGCGTGTGAACACAGAGCAGCACAGGGAGTCACAGTGCGAGCGCCGTCTCAGGGACACACCCGGGAACCTGCCCGGGGCACACGGCAGGGGTGGGGCCCGCGGGGCCGGAAGGCAGCTGCTCGGGTGGGTCGGGGAGGCCGGGGGGAGCGGGCGTGGCGGCCAGGACGCGGGGGCGTGTGCTCGCACACTCACGGACCTCAAGGACCTCACGGACACTGGGCGCCTGCCCAGGCTGCGCTGAGTTTATGCTCAACGAGTTTTTTCTCGCATAGCAAGTCCGCTTCAGCTTGCTGTGCCTTCTTGACTTTGTAAACCTTTAAACTGTTCTGAACTTCCTGAATCTTGTGTGATAACTTAGCTCAATACATGAACACACTATACAACACCACAGAAATATTTCTTCTTTATAGCCTTATTCTATGACTGTTTATATTTATTTATTTATGTTTTAACTTTCTAAATGCTTTTTAAGAGCAGGCTGCCACCACACACACACGGGGCTCACCCAGGGTCGGGGCCATCGACACCAGGGTCGTCCCCGCCCCCTCCCCCGGGAAGGTGGGCCGGGGCCACGTCACACACAGAGCTGCCGTCCCCCGGGAAGCAGGACCACAAGCCCTGCTTCTTCTGGACCCCCCCCCCGGAAGGGCCTGCCCGGGCTCCTCCCGAGGAGGGGTCCCTCTTTTCAGGAAGGTGCCCGCGGCGGCGGTGGGCTCGGCCTGCTTCTTCCTGCACCCAGGTTTGCCGGGAAGACCCTTCTCACTGCAGACGTGGCCCTGTGTGCGGAGCAGAACACGGGCGCCGGGCACTTGGGGTGCGACTTTGAAAAACTCCGAACTGTAACGGCCCCTCGACAGACGGTCTGTTTCCCTGCAGAGCTGAGGCCCGGCTCCGGCGCCAGAAATGGCGCAGGCGGAGGGCCCGCAGCTCGGTTCAGCGGCGACTGCCCCGCCCGCAGAGCCGGAGCCCCGGAGACGCCCTGTCTCCGCACACACCACCCTGACCCGTCCGCGGTCTAAGGCGGCCGGGCAGACGGGGGCTGGGAGTCTGTGGGCGCGAGAGCGGAGCTGCAGCTCCCTGGGGGGGCCACCTGGAGGGGGGGACCGTCACTGTGGGCCCCGCGGGATGTAAGGAGGCACTGATGGCGCCCACGGCCCGGGGAAAGTTGGCCGACACGAACCGCCACAGACGACACGAGGGGAGTTAGCACCTCACACACACTCTCACACACACACACTCACACACACACGAGGACAGGCTGGGATGTATCAGTGCATCCGGCTTTTCCATGAGGATCCGGAAGGCCAAGTGCGTGGCGGGCAGCCCCGGGCGCCCGCTCCTGTCTTTCGGCGTCGGTCTGCTCCCCACGGGAGCCACGCAGCTCCCAGGGCACGTCCATGGGGGCGTCCTGTCCAAACCACGGGAACGGTTGTGGGCAAACCACTCCCTGCCGGCACTCTGGATGTGCTCGACCGTGTTTGCGATGTCCCGTGGGGCGAAGAGACCCCTGGACACCCAGCATGCGCGAGCGGGCAGACAGCTCACGCCACGCGTCGTAAAGAGAGACTAACGTCCTGACCCAGACGCAGCCGGCGGTCACCGTCTGCCTCCGCGGTTCTGAGACTGCCCACCCTGGAGGCGGGGACCACGGAGGGTGTGGGGGAGACGGGGGCCCCGAGGCGCCTTCCCGAGGCGCCTTCCCGAGTCTGCGCAGAGAGAACAGACGCCTGGAGGAGAGCGCACGGCACACGGAAAGTACCGGGGGGAGGGGCCCGAGAGGTCCGGAGGGAGGGTTCTGGAGGGAAGGTTCTGGGCCGCGGGGATTGGGTCGCCTTCGAGCGTGAGCGGCTCCCACTGGCGGACGCGAAGACCCGGTATTCGCGGCGACGGCGCCCTGAAAACAGACCGCTGCCCGGAGCGGCAGTGTCCACCCGCTACCTGGGCGAATGGACGAACGGACTCCCGCGCTGTGCTCACACTTAACACAAGCGCGAGCGCTGGAAAGTGCAGCCGGCACAGAGAGGCACGCACAGAAGTCCTGTGCGTGTTTAGGGGTTCTCCGCGAAAAAGCCCCACGAGTGGAAAGTGAGATTCAAAGTCCAGGCGAGGCCGTGAGGACCGGTGCGGGTGGGGCCACGCGCCGTCCCGCCTACAGTCGTTTCCACTTCCTGGAAACGTTGTCATTCTTCTTCCAAGGAGCGTCCTTCCGCCCTCCCCCCTCCAAGTTCAGCGGAACCTGATCGTTGACATGAGCTCGAATGTCCCACTGCCAATGATGCAACTTTTTAGTCTGGTGAGCACATTAACTTTCCTGATGTGGAAATAAAGATTATCGTATCACAATGTAATTTAAAGTGCATGGAAAGACTTGCTGGCTTGGGGAACGCAGGGTGATTGTTTAATTAGGTCGCTCGCCGGCCAGAGGAGGAGTGGATGGTGGTGTTGCCCCAGCGAAGCAGTTTTCAAGAAGGCACACCCGACGTTCATCTTGTTGATATCGGGAACAAAGTATAATTCTCGGGGCCCTGGTAGACACACAGTTCCACCAGGAGCCAGGGGAGGCGTCTGGCCGTGGGGGAAGGGAGGACGGCCCTGGGTGGCGTCCACAGCAGGGTGGCCAGTGCGGCGCAGTCAGAGTGGACATCATGCAGACCGTGGCCGAGGGACCAGGGCACGGCCGGCCGGGCGGCCCCTGCCCGGAGGGCGCGCAGCAGGTACGCCACGGGGCAGTATGGACTCCTCCACCCTCTCAGGAAAGGGGGCTTCCATCAGGACTGGCACTACGCACCCACAGACCGCTAGTCCCCAGTCCTCCCCGTCTGTGTTCAGACGGGCCGGGCCTTCGGGCCCCTGCCTGCCTGCGCTGTCTGAAGTCTCCTCACCTCCCGGGGACCCCAAAGGGCCGAGGGAACGCACCCCTTCAGACCCCGACACTGAACCCTCCCCGTTCTCCACTGTGTCTTCAGATCGCTTCATTTTCAATCGTTTTGCGACAGCATAAAAAATTACATCTTCACAAAGTCCTTTTTTTTTTTTTACATTTCGACAAACTCCTTCATGCGTTTGTGAAGAAACTGTAGCAACTCAAGAAAACCCAACGTGGCCGGTGGGAAGCACAAGAGTTTACATCCTGCTCTCGAGCGCCCTTTCGTGGTGCGCTCACGGCGAGACGCTCCACGCGGATGTGACCACTCTGCAAAGGCCGCCTCCTGGGGGGGGGGGGCTCTGAGAGCGGAGGCGGCCGGCGCTGTTCGGTGGGAACGCACTTGAAATGAATTACGTGCTTATTCGGGAAGCCTGGAAGAAAATGTCCCTTCCCCCCAGTAGTTCTTTCTCGGGGTTCCAAGGGAGACGGAGGTTAAAGCCGCACACGCACCAGCTTCCGTAGCTCTCCCCAGTATTGCTGCTAAACCGCCAGCCTCACTCCTGTGCCTGGACTTTCTGGGCGCACCTGGCTCACCGAACTCCGCTGCAGTTCTTCAACCAGCTCGGGGTGACTCGGGGCAGTGTGTGAGGGGTCCGCGGGATCGAGGGAGGGTTTTCACGGGCGCCGCCGTCACAGCCGTGCAGGACTCGGGGCCCCCGAGGGCGCTCCCGCCGCCTGCCTCCGCTCATCACCGACGCCTTCGCCCAGAAGAGACGCGCCGTCCAGTGAGATTCTCCCTGAGGAGGTCGACGAGGGTGTGTCTTCTCTTAGAAACGTGTGCTCTAAAAGAAGGACGCTTGAGGTTTTTGAGGGCTGGGAGTGATGACGGAAGAATTCTTCACTTATCTGTTTCCTTGTCTTACTTGCTGCTGTTTCGGGAAAAGAGGGGATGGCGCCAGTCGGATGAGAGGGCGCTAGCAGGTGCTCTCCCAGCAGCCCCGCCGCACAGCCCGGGCTGTGCGCGTCGGTGCTGCGGCCTGGCTGCCCCCGGCACCGGGGACCGCAGCCCCGGGAAGCGTGTGCCCACCCCGCGCCCCCACCGGGACGCCTGGGGCCGGGCCGGGCCGGGATGCTGTGGGACTGCGGTCGGACAGAGGAAAACGAAATCCTGTCGTGAGGACACACCTCCTCCGGGCCTCAGCGGCCACCAGCTGGGGAGGCCGCACTTCTGGTCTCTGGGCCCCCGTGACACCCTCAGGGCCCCTCGGGCCTCGTCAGCACCTTCACCCAAAAGCGCTGTCGTGCTGGCTGCCACCGCCGTAGTTTGTCCGTCTGAACTCGGGGACCAAGGCCACCTCCCTGGGGTTCTGTCCACAGGAGGACCCCCGACAGGGGAAGCCCACCTCAGCGGTGGGGCCCGGGGCTTTTATTGGGGTTGCGGGTCACGGGCGTGGCTGACGGGGTCACGGGCCACGAGACTCCATCCCGGGCTCCAAGCCCTGCCGTCTGTCCCACGGCCCATCCCCCCCCCGCCACGGCCCGGCCCTGCCTGGGGCCAGGCTGTCAGCAGGAACTCAGCCGGGCCTGGGGCCCCCCC